TGCGGCGTGCCACCAGATGTACGTTTGCTTCTGAAAAACACACGCCTTCTCTGTTTTTCTCCCATCCACCTAATTGCATTTGGGCTACTGCTGTTCTCTTCAACAGACTCCATGTGTTAGGTAAAAGCAAGGTGGAGGCGCGAGGAACCTTAACCGTCTTGCTTTAGAGAAGCTGTAATCAGAAAAACCCAGGAGCCAGAAAAGATCACAGCAAAAAAATATGTATATCATTATCAAGCCGTTTACAGGCCTGGGAATGAATTCCTTTCTCCCAGTGTATATGCTCAGCAGTCAGTTTTTCAAATGCCTCATTAATGCCGGTACTCAGCTGTTCTCACCGTCTATCTCGCCATGCTGGGAGAGTGAAGCCATCGCGTCTGATCCAGCACGCTGCACTGCAACCTCTAATATTATTGTGAAGCTAAAAGAGCCTTCTCCAGTGTTGAAAATACAAACTTCCCGACAGATTTCTAATCCGGCCGAGCAAAGGTTAAGAGATCTTGATCTCGTGTCCATAGATGTTCCCCAGGGTATTACTTTTCTCTGTTTGGTACCTGCCTTCAGAAAGGGAGCTGGAGGGGAGGAAATGGGTAATGAATGCAAATGCGAAGTAGTGGAGAAAATTGGGAATGAATGCAAATGTTAAAAGGGGCAAAACCCATTCAATCCTAGCAACCTTCCTTTGCTTTATTTTGCTCTCTTCTTTGCAATCGTTTGTGATGCATTTCCATACTTTACACTACGCGGTGTTGTGCCTTTTGCTTTAACATAGAATTTAGACAGTTCTCCCTCTCCTATTCTTGCTTTCCATAGGCATTAAAGTAGGTTCTGGGAGTTGAAGACACAGCCACTTCAAGGATCTTGTGGAAATGTTACTGGAGGAAAATAATTCTAGGAAAATCTTTGTGAAATACCTAGACTGAGATCAAGCAACAGTTTCACCTATTGCAGACAGTGTTTAGAGAAACATGCCTTTATTTGGCATACAGATATTTCCAGTGTGCCTATTGAGATAAAATCTTTAATCTAACCCTCCATTCCTCAGCTTGAGCTGTGAAAAAGTAACTGTTTTAAATGTAACTGGTTATATTTGCAGTTTTTTTTCAGTTTACCTTTATATCTCTCCCCTTTTATCACGGCGCCTTGCTGTAAATTAGTAGTTTGTGCTGAATTGGTTGCAATTAATATTGCTACTGCTGTTCCCAATAAAAAGATATATCATAAATAATTTTTATGTGTTTTCCTCCATAGGTGGTAACAGCACAGAGGAGAAGCAAAACACCGAAGAAACCGAGGCCCAGAGCCGAGAAGGAGGTTTGTGCCAAGTTCCTTAAAGGACTTTCTTAGGTTTTTATCCACCTTGGTGAACAATAACCTGAGTCAATGCTATTGACGGAGAATGTTTGTACATTTTCACCAGATTAGCTCAGGTCTTGAGCAATTCTCCCATTAGAGGCGAAACTCCATTCATTATGAATGAATGTATTGCAAAGCAGCTCTCTGTAGCTTAACAGCTCTACGTTCTCCCTTTAAGGTGGACTACCTCTAGCTGATCCTCTAACTAGAAAGAAATAATCTTCCTTCTGTCTACAGCAGAGCAGCCCTCTGCATACAATAGAAATGAGGGAAAAGGAAATTTGGAGAAGGAGAAAGCAGGTTTCCTTTTCTGAAAACTGTACTTCTGAAGATTTTAAAGGGTATTTTCAAGTTTTAATAAATTGTCTACAGAAGTCTCAGGGGTTATGAAGATTTAAAGCTGTACAGAAAGATATTGCATATACTGCAAATGAATGTCAGAGTTCACAAGCAGTGGGTTTTGCAGATGACATGCTTATAAATTACAGTGAGTTCAATATTTTAAAATACGATGTCACTTTGTGTTCACAATAGATTTTCTGTTATTTTTTTCTGTTTATGGTTGTATTGTTCATCCTACCCAACTCTGTCCAATGCAAAAGACAACTAGAATTAATCAGTAATCAAAGGAGCTGAAGTGGCCATCAAAATGTCTGTAAATCCTCTTGTTTCTTAAGGATTTCTTTTAGTGTGGTATTACGTATAACACAATGCTTTTCTTGTTTGTTTGGGGTTTTTTTTCCTCATTGTAGTGCAGGATGTTGCCTACACATAGTTAATCCAGAGAGCATGAAACAGTTTTTTTCAAAACTTTTTTTTTTTTTGTCAGAATCAAAGGGTTTTTTTCAATATGGAGAAGATTGAACTGAAAAAGGCCAGATAGTAAATGCAGCAAAAAAATTTAGGAGGTCTACAGTCTTGACTTACCTGGTTTGTTTACTGCATTGTGGTTTTTTCCAGATTAGGAGTTCATTTGATGAGGGTCCTTTTTGTCCTATGCATTGGGCACTGTGTATGTGGAAGTGCAGCATTTTTCCCTGCACTCCACAGGTCAGTCTTCTGCAACTAGGTGTTAACAGCTGATGCTGTCTGCAAGTGCTTGAAGTCCTTCTATGTTTCATGTCCTCTTTATCACCTCTTCTTTATGTCCTCGTGCGGGGTAAGCAGAGGACACACAGTATTACAGAATAAAAAAGATTCCCATGGACCTCAGCAGACTTTGGACTTAGGCCCTTTATCCTCCCGAAGATAAGCGTGCAGTGGTATTTTGTAAGTGTTGGAGGACAACAACGTTTTCTTTCCTGGGTTTTTCCCTTTTATGCTAGTCGTATTTTAAACAGGTGAAGGAGACCAGGGAGAAGGGAGAAATGACTTGCTCTGTCTGAATCTAGACTCTGTTTTGGATATCTGACTAGGCAGGGGGATATCTTTGCCCAAGCAATATTGAGCTTTTGACTGTACTGAGTACTGCTTGGCTGCTAGCTCACCTGAGACCTAGTGCTGCTAGGAACTCCTAGTTCCAACTGCAGAGGTTCCTGTTAAGCCTGGTTGTAGTACTATCTACAGATGCCAAATACAGCCCATCGTGCTTGTCAGCTGTAGTCACTCTGGTGGGGTGCGTATTTCCCTGGTGTTTTGATTCATAAAACAGTTCAATTGAATGAGATACATTTCATTTTTCCCAAGAGAATCAAGGAATGGGTGCCTCTCTATTAGTTTGCTACTGGAGATGTCTTAAATGCATTGTGTTTTTCCCAAAACCATCATTACGACTTGTTACGTTACGAGCTGTCAGAGCTGGTTTATCAGAGCCACGATGAGCATTCTTTTGCTATCTCATGTTGGTAGTCATGTTTCGTTACTCTCATGAAGAGTGTCAAAGAAAAGATCCAGACGTTTCGGGTTCCGGATCCAGAAAATGTCATACTTTAGGAACGTGGTTTAGGTACATGCCTAAAGATAGCGTTGTGTCTACGTATAGTCCATGAATCACCTCCTCGGCCACAGGCACACTGTGTTACAGGAAAAAATTGCTTGACTTTACGTTTATCTCTACTGGTTCACATAGTGACAAGAACAGAGAGGTGTACAATTACCTCGAGTTAGTTACATTCAGCTAATGAGTTGCTGCTGCTTTCCACTCTGCTCATTGTGGAGGCAAAACATAATCAGGAACTTTTAGACTGCCCTTTCTTGGCAGTAGGAAATGACCTGATCTTCTAAGATACGCAGTTGTATGCCTAAAACATTTCTAATCACTGTGAATGCTCACTGTAAGGAGCAATCCCATCAAATGTTAAAGTTCTTATTTGTATTTTGTAAACCAAAAGACATAATCTTCATCTGAGTGTGACAAATCACAAATCGTATACTTAGATATTGTGAAAGAAAACGTAGGGGAAAAAGTAGACACAGTGTTCCTACCTAGTCTATTACATAAAGATTTATATATTCTTATTATACAGTAGTGAAAAATCCAGTTATAGTGTGCAAAGACTGGCCTGAAATTTTTCAGCTATTACTGTGTGTTTTTTTTAAAGTCTGGCCTCCAGTCTGTCATCAGTGAACTTCACAGTTAACACGTGGAAAAACAAAATGGCAGGTGGTTCAGAGCTCTCGTTTCAAGCTAGTTAAAAATACTCAATGACTATATTAGGAAAAAAATCTTGTCAGAATCGTAAGAGGAAAGTCTTTTGAAATAAATGAAAGGCTAGAAGCAAAAACAAAGGCTTAGAAAGGTTGTAGAACTACAAAAATTGCCAAGAAAAAGCAATAGTGAAAGTTAAAAAATTCTATTTAAGTCAAGTACTAGTTTTATCTACTAACTACAATAGCTTTACCCACATGCTCTACCATTAAAAAACTCCAAGTCGTAGATTTTCAGGGACTTGATTCATGAAAGCTTGTGTTTTCAGGATAGCATTTGCATGTAATCAGTTTGATTCCAATGAGATTCATGGACATGATTAAAGATAAGAATGGCTTAATTGTTTTTTCTCAAAATAGATAGATTAAATGAAAAAAGGGATCTCAAAGCAAATAGCAACAGCAGCCTACCCACGAAACTGATAGCTGATCCTCTCTCTGTATTATGAGAAATTGAAATACAGACTTGATCTGGCAGTATTGTAATGTGAGTTTACCCCTGGCTTAGGGAAGACAATCAGACCAGTAATGGCCAGTGAATGCAATGTGGATGGATGGAAGCCCAGAAAATCAAATTCAGGTCTAGTATCTTGCCTCAATAAGGCGTAACACTTTTTTCAGTAAAGTGGTTCATCAGTTTGCTATCTAATGAATAACTTCTCTTTCATTTCCTTGGTTCTTATAGATGAGACGAAACATTCAGCTGTAGCCAGCCTATCATCATCAGAAGAAACAGAGCTGAGTGAGGATAAAGGTACAGATTGTAAATTGTGTTTCAAAATATCCAGTCCCAAGAGGATGTTTCATACAGCCTTATTTTCCTTTGTCTGGAAATTGCCAAAATCACAGTTAAACAATACAGAAATAGGTAAATGCTTGGATTTACATTTACAAAAGTCTTTGTAATGAAGTACTTGGCACCAGCTGTTGTGCTGGTAGGAGAGATGCTGTGAATTCCTAAGTCCCCTTGTTACAGAAGTAATACTAAAATATCATACATGACATATCAGAAATGAGCCCAAAGCCTGGGCTGGCTGGGGCGGCTCACGGGCGTGAAGTTAAGCGTTGCGCATCTATTGCAGCAATATTAGCTCCCTCTTCGGTGCTCTCCTGATGGGGAAAAAGAAAAACACAATAGCTATAAACACATCAGGAGGAGACAGGAGGAGATGAAGTCATAATTGAGAGGGAGAAAGTAATGTTTATCTTGTGCAGACTGTGCTGGGCACTCAGATCATTTAGTTTGTGATAAATATTTAAAAGTGTCACGGGGCCAAATGACAGGGAGTTTAGGAAACAAGAAAGAGAGATGATCTAATTTAAATGTTTCAAGCTGAGATTTTTCCTGTGGAGTTGTTGGTTTACAGATAGGAACCAGTGCACAGACGTACTGTTTTTGATACTCTTATGATATCACACTATTAATTGCTTGTGCCGGTCTATGGTTTTTGGCATTTTTGTGGGGGTACGTCAGGAAAAGCCTGAGTGATTTATAAAATGTTCGCTACTGGTAATTCAAAACAGGAGTTATGCTATCTATAATAAATACAGTCCATCAGTACAGCCTTCAAGAAAGAGTAATAGGAAATTTTAATGCGTTTTACTGAGATAACATAATTATTAACATCCATTAAGTTATTTATTTTAAAAGATTTAATGTTTAATTCAGCGTCGCGGCTTGACTCTCTTCTCATTTTTCTAGATAAGTGTGACGGGGTGTGAGATCTTGCCCTTTTGTTCCAAAGACACATGCTGGAGAGCCCGCATACTTACCTGATTATGAGTTCAAAGCCTTGTGCAGGTTGATTTAAGTGCTCTCTTAACTGATTGATTGATCCTGCAGGGAAAAAAAGCCACAAACCGTTGCTGGAGCACTGGCTTTTGCTTTTGATATCCTCACAGATTAAAGTCGTGGCAAGGCTAGTGGAAGGCAGAAATAGTGACAGATTCAGCCCCAGCTTAGTTGATGATTGCCTGTCATTCATTTCTCTTTTTTTTTTGCTGACATTTGGCCTGTTTATGTATCCTGTATCTATAAGATCCCCCATCAGATGTGTTTTTTGTTTCATAATGTGAGGGTCACGGTGAGGCTTTGGATTTGGATGATTTTTTTTTTCTTTTTTTTTTGCTATCTGCAGTCTTACTGAAGATCCCAACATTTTGGTATTGCTTTGAGTGCTCGTTCCTGACTATGAAGCCAATGTCTTCTAATGTGCTTTTCAGTGACCATCTCAATGTGTAACCACTCCTGTTTTTTGACCCACTGTATTAGTTGTCTTGTCTCAGGAAAGTAGCTGTCTTGGTGCTATAGGTCTCACTTTTCCTATAATATACTAAAATTACAGTCTTTTCCCCTCTTCTCTTGAGAGGTCTTGAGACAGAAGAGAGAGTGCCCTGAGAAATCCGAAGGGCAGCTTCTCCTTGACGTCTTACTTCTCCTCAAAAGTAAGATGGAAAGCATCTGGTAGGGAAAAAGGAGCAAGACAGACTCTCCTCTGTATATTCTGTTTGTAGAGTCATACAAGTAGAAAAAGGAATGGTGGGGAAAATAACATGTTGCGGGATTTGCTTGTCATTTTTCTAAATGTAACCAAGAATTTTGAACGATGAGGCGGCCGCATTCACCAGGCCATGGTTTTGATCCTTATTTCCATTAGTAGGTTTTCAACTTTTCGGATTTTAGATTTTGAGTTGTTTTAAAGTGAATGCTTGTGTTACAAAAAACTCGCCACCGCTTGGGAAATGGCACTTTTACAAAATCCTGGCATTTCTGAAAACACCTGCTGCTCCCGAAATAAATTTCAGCCTTCAAATTGTTTGCCCACTGAGTTAACACAGCTAAAACCTGCCAGGTTCTGGAACATACTCATTTCTGTAGTTTATCTTCAGCTAAATGAACTGGATGTAAAGCATTTAAAGAAATTATGTTTTCTAGTCCTTCCACCTAATTACTGTGAAAGGAGACTTGTGGCAAATAAGTCTAGGCTATGTATTTCCAAAATGCACAGTTTTAAACCACTCAGAATAGGAGGTTTCCAAGCCTACTCTGGAAGTATAACAGTCTTTCGAACACCAGTTCTGGTTAGTGCCTCAAAACAAGTATTTTTACTCCAATTAGTGTTGACTAGTAATTTTTCTGCTTATTTTTTTTCATGGTTTTGGGATTAGAATATAGCAAACACATTGCAATAGTTATTTATTGCTCTAAAATGTGGTGATATTCGAAACAGAGCACATACATCTCTGCTACCATGAAGTTCTAGTATTTTTGTCTTTTCTGAATCATCTTCATCAGGTTTTTTTTTAAGGAAAAAGGAAAGGACAGGAACACAAGAGGGAATGTTCATGATAAGCGCATCACAGTGTAGGAATCATGTTTTGAGGGACTCAGATTAAAATGAAAGCCTACTGTGAGATTACAAATCTCATATTAATGTGGAAGTACATCTCTTCCGTTATTCACAAGAGACCCTGTCCACAAAAAAAAAGTTTGTATGTGGCCTTTGAGCAGACTGAATTTTTTAAGTGCTCTGTCTGTCCTTAGGAAAAAAAAAAAAGCATAACAGTCCTATTCCAAGAATACCAAGATGTTTGATGTTATGCTGTGGAGGTATCCTCTTATTCCAGTCTGTGCCAAGTTGATATTTCCACTGTCTGGAAATACCGCAAAGAAATGTTGCAATTTTACCCTTGAAAACTTGCATGCATAACTATTAGCTCTTAGAGGGAGAGCTGACATCTCTAGGCAGCACCTTCGTAGCGCTTCATTACTGTGCATATGGAAGTAGATCCTTTATACACAAGGTATTTCAAGTTAGAGATGCTTCTCTTTATGAAGTGTAAGGGCAGAACAAAGTGATTAAAGTCATTAATGTTTATGCAGCGGATAAAACACGTAGCAGACAGGCTGCACTCAGTCTAGTATGCCTGTCCATACAAGATTGTGCTGGGACTACAAGCTCATTTTAAATGGACCGTGTTGTATATAGCTGTGGATGGGTTTGGACCTGTGATTATTTTTCTTCAGAAAGAGTATGTGTGCATGTGTGTGTGAGAGAGTTGTCTGCACCTTCATCTCAGTTACCTGTCCTACCAATTTCTATTTAACCTGATTTAATGATAGGACTTTCTGGCAGAAAAATGAAAAAAGGAACTGGATTTAGCACAGGTGAAGAACGAGCTCCCCTTTCTGCAATCATGGCAAAGTTTCTGTGCACAATACGCTGATTTTAATTCATTAGCACTTAATAAGAACTGAATTTTCATTTGAAGGTCAACTAAATTAAATCATATGCTAATTAATTTTAAAAATAAAATAGCGATTAATTATTTCCAGGTGTTCACCAAAGTCTGTGCTCCTGTGGGAGAGCCATTTAAAGCAAGTCACTATTTTTCTACGTTCTCTGAAATGGAATCAGATTCAGTCAGCTGGAGGGCTGATGTTGTCAGAAACAGAATTAAGTGTATGCCTTGGCTAGAGGTTAGCCCTAAAAACTCACTTTGTGCAACCCAGAAGCCTGTAGGTATCCTGCTTGTAAAACATAATGGATATAAAATTCCTGTTTGGCCAGCTGTAGTTCTCACCATGGAAAAATTTTGATGTCCTAAAGACATGGATGATTGAGAAGGGATAAACTGAGTGTTTCAAATGCAGGGGAGCTGTGCAAATTGACGTAAATTAGACATTGATAAGTGGGTGAAAAAGATTGACTGAAAGGCCAATATGTTCAGAAAGAGGTCTTTAAAATCAGCTCTTAAGTATATATTAAGACATCTAAATGAATGACCTGATTTTCAGAAGTGCTGAGCGCTCAGCAGCCTCCAATGAAATGTTTCTACTTCACCCTTGGGCTATGATTAGACCTGGAAAATTTCAGCCTGAAAAATTTCAATTATAGGTAACTGAAAAAGAACCTTTTTAATGGAAGAGTTTCAACACCCCCAACCATGGCCATGGCTCTGCACGCCAGCTACAGTGATAACATTTTTCTCTCCCTTGATTAGAAGAATTTTTGTGAAAGCAAACTGGCTAACACAAACTGAGTGATGGGGTTTGGGGTGTTTTTTTAAACCAGGTACATAACCATCACCACCCAACCAAGTGCATATTCTCCTAACACTCTCCATAAAGGTCATTTCGAGCTGTGCATAACGTTATTCACTTTTCCTTTTATTCTGACCTACCTGTAGCATTGCGCATCCAGATGAGGTCCAGCCCATAAACTGCTTGGAAAGTATTTCTGCTCTACCCTTTGCCAGTACGGGCAGCCACTACAGCTAACACTAATCTACTTAGCTGTTTTATTTAAATCCTATTTATTTTTAAATATTAGCTGACCTGAAGCCGCCTAGCTGTGCTGCCATCAGTCCGACGCGAGTGCCTACTCCTTCCATCTCCCCTCAACCCTTCAGCTGTGCGGCATCTTCTCCTGGGAAGGGTCTAACCAAAGCAGCTGGGTTTTTCTCAGCTTTTTCCTTTCCCAGAGCCCTGTGCAACAGGCCCTGCTCCTTACAGCAGCAGCAGGATGCTCACGGTTATCATACCAGCTGCGCCTGGAATTTCTCTTGTGGACAGAAGGTGAGGTTAGAGGAGATGCCCTTGTGTCAGCTCGAAGCACGAGCTGGGTGGAAGCATTACTCAGTGGACCCCACCTGCGGAGATGAACTGCCTGCTCTATTACCTGAACACTTGCAAAAATATCTCTACAGGTTGTTGCACCTAAAAAGGTCTGTTTTACCAAACCATATAAACTTGGGCTCCAATAAAGCTAATCTGTCATAAAGATAGATTAAAATGAAATCTTGGTGGATATAAAAATAACATTTTAAAGTCAAAGCTCAAGAATCTCTCCCTAACTTCTCATAAATCACCATTTTATAGTACTTCATTTTAACACATTTTCCTCGCCTTATGAGGCAAAAGAATACCCTAATCATGTGGCAGCCTCCATGCACACCATTACCTGTAATTTTAGATGCCTGCTTGATTTCTTTCACTCTGGGAATATTCCAGTCATTTTTCACAGTATCATGCTTAAAAAATAAAATGCACTGAACCTGTTTCTTTCATAATGACCAGCTTTTTCCCTCTTTAATCTTCTTACAGCTCCCTAAAACACAGTGATTTATCTGTGCTGTGTGTGGGACCCAGGTGTGTTGCACATTAGAAACGACTCAGTAAATAAGCCATACAGAGAGGAGCTGGTGAAGTGAATTCTGAAAGATCATTAAAACCACTTAACATTCAGATCTTACCATTTCTCCTCTTTCTTAGCATTTGCAAAATTTTGTTTGAGCAGTCTTGTTTCATACAGTCAAAAAAAAAAAAGATGAATGGCATGGAAAAGTAGGGAGGTTTATGCAGTATTTAGACAAAATAGTGTCTGATTATTGGCAGGAAGGGTAGGATTGATAGTTTATTGCAAGCTACACAGTTTTCTTGGAGCTGAATTCAACATACGGTTGATTTATTGGAACAGTGAATATAGTTGGGGAGTATTCTGGTCGGCTTACTTAAAGTCCACATATTTTCTTCACGAATTGTTAAAGGTTGGGGCTAATTCCCAGGCGCATTCAACCACTCAGCCCCATGAGACGTTTGTTTCAATACAATGCAGGGATGCAGAGCCAAGTGCCCCTGACGTGGACACTGTCACTGCACCTGTAAAAGCGGTTATGAAGGACCTAAGGGATGCTCAGACTTCAATGAGTGCTTCAGTGCTTGATGTGCAGTAGATAAGAGGCCTATCTTTGGTTCATTTATGTCATTAAATGTCATGTTTGGTTGATTCATGAGTGATCAATGATGACATTAGGAACTGTGCTCCAGTCTAGTATCAGAAACACTGATGATTCTCAGCCCTGCCTGGAGGAATGTTAACCCTTAGACTTCCAATTGTGCTGCAAAATAATATCCTGTCTTGGATTCTGTCCGGTATGACTTAACAGATAAGTAGCTGTGTTAAGAGAAGACTAACGCTGCTTTATACTATTTGAAAAATCAGAGTTAATTCCTTAGCCAATTAGAGATGAATGAAGGCTTTAGGGATGGCCAGAGCTTTTGTAGACCCTGGAATCATTTAGGACTATGATACTGGCTTATGCCCAGCTGCATAAGGCTCTAAGGGGCTAAGCAAGCATGGAGGACCAGCTGAGCCCAAGGAATACCGCTACCCTACTGAAAACTTGCATGCAGAAAGTAGTATGTCAGCATTTGTGGGATTCCCACTGCTGCTGGCCAACTGAAATGGAGGTGACACTCGTGCCTCGTATCCAATTTGGGAACAGCTTTTATTGACCGGTGTGTTTGGTTTTACGCTTTTACTCTTGCTTGGTTCAGATTTTCTTCATAAATCTGGATTTATTCCTTTGCTTTATTTTATTCTTGTTGATCTTGAAAGTAGATCTGTCTTTGGACCTTTTGGCTTGAATATTTGATCTAATATTTGCTTTTGAAAAGAAGAAATCTTTGACATGGTCTTGACCTTAAAGATTTTGAAGCTCACAATCTGCATACTAATGCAAAGACTCATTTCTACTGCTGAAATAAGAGTGGTGGGGCCTTACAAGCTAGGCAGTAACTCCTGACCATGTTCTGCTCTTTTCAGAAAGACGCTTTACAAAAAATAACTTGTGTAAAATGATCATTGCCTGGGATGATTTGGAATTCTGTGCTTTCTTGAACCCTGGAACAATTAGAAAACTGTTTATGATCAAAATGAAAGTTTAACACAAAATTACAGTCCCGTAAAAATAAACAGTGCAGAGCCAGCTATGGGAATGTCTGAAGATGTGCCATCTAGAACACAGGCTTAGACAAATAGCAAAGGTGGTCTGTAGCTGTGGTGTCTAACGCTGGCCCTCAGCGTGCCAAAGGGTGGGAGCAGAGGCAACTCCCCACATTGTGCGATAACTGTAGTTTGCCATAAGCTATGTGATGCTCCGCGACAAGCAGCAGCGGGATGGGGCACATACATCAGCCAAGCACGAGGCTCTTTAAACTCCATTTGTTATTATTGACCAAAGCACGTAATTGTTCCTCTGATGCTGGGGATTGATTTTTGCATGAAATTGGAGTCATTCCTCATTCTGGGAGAAAAGGTGGCGCCTGTGAACTGAGATGAAAGGCGCGGGTTTGGGAGTATGAAGTACTGTGCAATAGGTGTAGGATAAGACAGCTCTAACGATCTGATGGGACAGAGCTGCACGCATCTCTCCCGCCCGTAGCAGGCAATATCACACTTTATCATCACTTTTGGCTGTTGGAAGGGCCGTGCTTGGGCCCTGGCTGCGTGGTACTTAACACAAAGGATTGCTGATTGCGGCTTTGTCAGTACAGTTCCTTTTACAAACACACAACTAAATCATACAGAAAAAGATTATATTAATTTAGGGTATGGGGGGTACAAATCTTGGCTTGACAGACTGAAAGCTTTGTCAAAAACTCCAGTGAAGCCAGAATTTCACTCAATGGGTTTAAACTTTGCTCGACAAATTCCCTATGGATTTTTAGTGCTATTACTGTTTATACCAAGAGGTCCTTTAACTCGCTTTTTGATTAAACGTGGAATTTGATGAAATTCTAATTTATTTTCGCTCTGATTCAGGCTGATAGAGTAGTCCACAATGTGGCATCCTAGTTTGAAAGACCAGCGCAGTGGTCCAGCTGATAGCAATGAGTAGCGTTTTGCGTTCACAGTAGGGTGAAAAAACGTGCAGCAAGGGCAAATTTTAGCAAATTGTACATCAGTGAGACATTCTGCTTTCAAACTTGGATTTATAAACTTATTGTCGTGCCACAAAAGAAGAAAGAAGCTGTGCAGGTAATTAAATATTTGCCTTGGGGGATTATTTGCAGTTAATTAAAGCCACACACTTTCAGTGCATACCTTTTCTACAGATTATTAAATTTGGATCAGATGTTAACAACCCAGCTTTCTCGCTTATCCATCAGAGATTATTCTTGGCAAGTTTCAGGAACAGAGTTTTACTGGGGCATCCTTTGCTATATTGTAAGATTTGCTCTGCAATATTGTAGAAAGGGACCTTCCAGAAGTAGAGCCGTTACAAGACTGTCATAGCATGTTTTATTATCCTACAGTGTAGATATTTTGGCACTGTTACTAGATTTTTCCATCTAGCAGCATTTTAGAAAGTGCTTCACACTGGAACAAAAATAGTGATTATCTGTTACCATTGTTCTACCCTCAAGTGTACTTACCCCTGTAGTTTGCAGAAATGTCCAGTTAGATCAGCGGTGTTTTTTAACGAGGTTCAAAGAGAGCTCTTTATCCAGTGAAAGCTGTGTGTTATGCGGATGAGCAGAGCTAAAACGGGTGGCTGTGTTGCTGTGATTTCCTGACTGTGGTGAAATGATGCATTTCTCCAGCACCACACAAAAACTAAGGGGTGGCTGTTGTCGGAAAACCTTGTCCGACACAACAAAACAACGCCTCATGTTTATGACAACTGCAGATAGCGTAGCAATTGGACTTGCGTCGTCTAATTCAAACTTCACTGTGCTGCTGGTTTGGGATATGGCTTTGGGCAGTTCATTTTGATGGTCTGCCCCAAAAGGAAGAGCAGTCTTGGCCACGATAATGACCTTGGGAGTTCTGTTGTCAAGAGAGATGAGACTAGGATTTGTGCTGGGATTTATAGGACTTGATATTTGTCAAGCTTGTGGAAATCCAACTGTGAAAAGTGTAGTTCTAAATAAATAAGAAATCACTTTATTTATCAACTAGGTGGTTCATGCTGTTTCTCATAGCTTTGTGCCCCTCCGTTCATTAGAAATAAAAATCTTGGTAGGGCTGCTGATTATTCTTACGCATCTTTTCTTGCCAGCTCCTTGTCTAAGGTTTGTACTGCAGGCAAAAACCTGCTCAGTAAATGTACAGATTTTGAAATCAATTTGAATAATTGAAACCCAGGAGTATACTTTTGTAGTATATAAGTCTATGGTTAAACAGATAGAAAAGCTGTCAGCATATCAGAATGCCAAATATGAAGCTAGCACCTAAGGGCTACCTGTGTCTGAAGTAACTACCAGACTTTTCCAGCATTAAAACCACTGCAGGCTCAGTTTGTTTGTTTGCTGTTTCCTCAGAGTCCCTGAAAGACTCCAAAGGTGCACGGGAGAGTGACCCAGTGCATCCTGTGGGGTGTGAAGAAGATCAAGCCGAAGGTAAAGTTTTGTATCAAAATTCTTTAAGACAGAGCTAACAAACCAGTTGGGAACCTTAGTTCTTCCAGTTTCAGCATCCAGTGGGTTTCAGCCTGACCTCTGCCACCTTAAGAAAACGCTGTCAGCTTGTAGAGGTTGTGTGCCAACCAGTTGTGCTGCGGTAATCTCTGGTGTTGCTGGAAAAGACGTGCGTCTCCAAATACGTGGGTTTAACCATATTGATCCCGGCTGCATAACGTTGTTATTGTCCTCCTTTGTTGTTGTTGTTGTCATTCTAAAAGCCTGTGGGGTGATTCTGTTCCTTCTGCTGAGCTGTCAAGTGCAAAGTGCTTTCCAACAGCTCCTATGAGAAAAAGTGTGTCAAGGCTGAGCTACAAAAGAAGAAGGAAAAAAAAATGATGCAGGGTCAGTTTTGACCAGCCATTTAACATACTTAATGCTTAGAGTTTGTTAAGTGATATTTTCTTTTATAAAGTCAGTCCAACGTTGTTTGTTTAATAGAAAAAAAGGAGTACTTGACCGAAAAATACCATGCTATACTTCAAGTTTGTGTCCTGATTTGATGAATTCGCCGTTGCCTGCACGCAGCCGTCATGCTGATGTCATTTTCAATTTGTTGTGTTAACAGGACAACAGGATGTTTCTGCAGAGGAGGAGATGAAAACTGGGGCAGACTCCCAAAGCTCCTGCGTGGAAATAGAAGGTACTGCACATGCCTTGAAACCAAAGAGCACGGTTAACAGGCAAAATCACTAGTTATTGCTCGGATATTATCAGTAGTGTTTAAGTTTCCTCTCTTTCTCCATGCCTACTAAGCTAAACCTGTGGAGCTGGATCTTCTTATAGTAACTCTAAATTCAACCCTGAGCAGGGGAGTATCTCTGGATTCTTGGTGATAAAAGCTGACTTTTTAATGACTGTGGCTGTTAGAGAAAGAAGTGAACGTTTTATTTCTTATTCCTGATGATGAGCACTTCAGCCTCAGAGCACTGAATGCTCTGTCCCCAGTCCAGTAAAACGCTTGAGTGTCTCTGGGCTTGCGATGAGTCCCAGTGAAGGGCCGTGCTTGGGGCTAGGCATGTGGGGGTTTTGTGCTAAATCTCAGAAAGCTCAGCATCTTGGAGGATCAAGGCCTTGCTCTTAACTACAGGCCCTTGGATTTCCATGAGACAGCTTTTGTATCTGCACTCTTGGGGAAAAAGATCCTTTTCCTCTGCCAGTGTTTTTAAACGGTAATCTTTCTAGTGTATGTTAATCCTTTTTATGTCCGTTCTGAAAAGCCTTACTGTTCATCTTCTTTTTATCGAATTTATTCAGAGCCATTGCTGAACCAAGAAGACACAACAGAAGTTGAGACACCTTTGATTCATGGTGCAGAGGAAAAAGAAGAGGAAGGAAAAGAAGGAGGAGGTGAGGCTACTTATAAAATAGATAGAGACAGAGAATACTGCTGGGCTCATGTTCTCCTTTCTATTGTGAGAAAACATGGGAAGAGTGCATAAAAGTGTTATTTTATTTTTTTTTCCCCAGAAAAATCCTTGTTTGCCTATCCTTGAGTGTTGTTTTGGCATATTAGACTTGGATTTACATAGGAAACTAAGTGCCAGAAAAGTGCACGCTCAGATTCTAAAGTGACTTTAAAACAAACACTCTTGTCGTTGATTTTCTGCGTAAAAGTGCATGAGGCTGATGAAACAACCCATTTATGTCCGTTTAAGTACCCTCTTGATCATGTTTGCTAAAAGCTTCGAGAGTATTTACAATAAATGGGTATGCTAATTATTTGTGAGGTCATTAATAGAGATTTAACTAGTAATTAAATAAAACTAGTAATTATAATAAAGAAACCAATATTTGGAGCAGGAACACAAGGTCTTCCTGAAGCAGTGATTTTTTTTTTTTTTTTTTTCTGATTTTAAATGTTGGACAGTTCTGGGAACCCTGTGCTCAGCTCACCATTTGTAACAGGCACATGAGTATATAAAAAATAACATATTAAGTAAATAATTCTCTAATTGTAAAGTAACTGCAAGTTAATAATTATATGGTCATTTGTAGAGCACAGGGATGAATTTTACAGTTCCAAATTAAAATGCAGACATGATTTTTATTGAAAATTCAGGTCAATACTAACTATGTTGTCCTAATTATGAACTCCTTTTCCCAGCCACATTGACACCAACTTAATTGCAAACCTGTGTTAGCAATATTGGCACTTTTCTTCACTGCAAACCCTGGTTAATAGAACCTCTTCGTTCATATACAGCAAAACAACATTTCCCTTTTTTTTTTTGTTACCTATCCAAGTTGAGGCTAATCACATCTCTTCATTATCAGTCATGTTAATGGTGTTGGTTTTATGCTTTTTTACTGATGATGAAAATAGAATTGATATAATCCTTACTTCGAATCCAGGTAAATGGTATTGCACTACCTCAGCTGGAAATCCAGGTTATATAATACAGGCTCACTCTGATTACAAATACCAAAGTTGTTATGTTAATTTCCTCCTAATAGAAATTATTTACATTTTATTTCATGCCTTATCAAAAGCAAGTTGGACAAAATATACTTTCAATATTTGTACGTTTCCTTCTCTTTAATACTTTAGTGTCCCCTACAGACAGTGACTGTCATTTAGTTCTCAGTGGAGAGATTATATTTCACCATCTATTCCACCTACTATTAAAGGATGCAACATTAAGGAAAAGAAAGTAATGTCGGAAAAGGGTGATTCTTTCCACTTTTCCTGCCCCTGATTTGAAAGATTCAAGTACTAAGTGAAAGGTTCTTTCCAAACATTTTAGAATGCGTTCCTGCCCGGGGGTTCAGGTATTGCTCCTGTGCAGGATTCATCTGATCCAAAGCTTGTTGAAGTTCAGAGAAGGATTCTCATTGATTTAAGTGAGCTTGCGGTCAGTTCAGTAATAAAAGGAGATGATGTGTGGAGTCTACCTGCAGGGTTACAGCGCTTAGGAAACGGAATAGATATTATGTTTAGTTTCCTCTGAACGTACTGTCTTTGCTTCAAGGAAAATAAATGGGTACTTTTTCAGAGTTTTGTGAAGGAAAGGTAATTAAGGCTTTCCCTTGCTTTGTTTCATTCTTATGGGTATAAGAACATGTAGAACACCCTCAGTGCATCTTGCTGGATACTTCCAGTTCTGGTGGGCGCACGCTCTGCCACGTGAGTTTCGAAAGTTCGCCACAAAGCAAGGTGGATCTAGATAAAGAGAGGTAAAAAAAGAAAATCAGCTGAAGTTCAGGCTGATTAAATACGATATATTCTGCAAAGCAAGACTCTTC